AGACTTCATCTCACCTACTTTGGTCATGTTGTCAGAAGGGATCATTCCCTGGAGAAGGCTATCATGCTTGGTAAAGTGGAGGGTCAGCAAAAAAGGGGAAGACCCTAACAAGATGGATTGACACAGTAGCTGCAATGATGGGCTCAAGCATGGTTAGGGTTGTGAGGATGGTGCACAACCAGGCAGTGTTTTGTTCTGTTGTACACTGGGTTGCTATGAGTCATTGCTGACTCGATGGCATGTAACAAGAACAACCATTTTGTGCAGCTTTAGGAAAAATCTTCCAGGCAGAGTGAAACAAGTATTGGCAGCTGGAATTCTGATGGAGCACATGAAGTGATAAGACTCCAAAGATGTATGTGGGCCACCAACAGGGTCTGACTGTTATAATGCCTCCAAAAGGCCATTAGAGTTTTTTAATCTGAGACTTTAAACTCATATACAGAAAATAAAATATTTATTTTTTTGTTGAGAATATACAAAGCAGAACATACACCAATTCAATAATTTCTACATGTACAATTTGGTGACATTGATTACATCCTTCAAGTTTTTCTGTTCCTTCTCCAATAATATAAACTAGTTTTTTTTTTTTTTTTTTTTTTTAATACCAGTAAGGCCAAAGCTATCTATGGTTGTTTAATGAAACCAGTGAAAAATATCAACTGGCTGATAGATTTGCTCTTTCCAGAAAGATATTATTTGAAGTTCTGTTCTACAGTGTTTCTTTTAGTCATTGGACATATATTTATATATGTTATACACATATACAAATTTATATATCAGAGTTTGAATGATTTTACTCTCTATCTTTATGCAAAAACAGGGTGTTGATTGTATGTTGGCATTTGACTGTGTGGATCGTAACAAATTATAATTAACATAGTGAGGAATGGGAATTACAGAAAACTTAACTGTCATGTACATGCAGAACCTGTACATAGACCAAAAGGCCATTGATTGAACAGAGCAAGGGACATTGCCTAGTTTAAAATCAAGAAGGGTGTGCATCAGGGTTGTTTGTACACTTTCACCATTCTTATTCAATGTGTTTGCTAAGCAAATAATCCTAGAAGCTGGACTAAATGAAGAAGAATGAGGCATCAGGATTGGAGGAAGACTCATTAACAACCTGAGATATGCATATGACACAACCTTGCCTGCTCAAAGTGAAGAGGACTTGAAACACTTACTGATGAAGATCAAAGACGACTTCCTTCAGTATGGATTACACCTCAACATGAAGAAAACAAAAATCCTCATAACTGGACCAATAAGCAACATTATGATGAACAGAAAATATTGAAGTTGTCAGGGATTTAATTTTACTTAGATCCACAGTCACCATCCATGGAAGCAGCAGTTAAGAAATCAAATGACATAATGCATTGGGCAAATCTGCAGCAAAAGACCTCTTCAAAGTGTTCAAAAGCAAAGATGCCACCTTGAAGACTAAGGTGCACCTGATCCAAGCCATAGTATTTTCAATCGCCTCATATGCATGCAAAAGCTGGACAACGAATAATGAAGACCAAAGAAGAATTGATGTTTTTGAACACTGAATATATCCTCAACTGCCAGAAGAATGGACAAATTTGTCTTGGAAGGAATACAGTCAAAATGCTCCTCAGAAGTGAGGATGGCAAGACAGTCTTTATACTTTGGACATATTATCAGGAGGGACCAGTCCCTGGAAAAGGACATCGTGTTGGGTAGAGAGGAAGTTGGGGGGGGGCGGGGAAGAAGACTCCAAGAAGATGCACTGACACAGTGGTTGCAACAAAGGGTTCAAACACAACAATGATTTTAAGGACAGTACAGGACTGGGTAGTGTTTCGTTCTGTTGTACATAGGGTCTCCGTGAGTTGGAACCAGCTTGACAGCATCTAACAACAGTAACAACTACATGTTATTTTCCTTTTGAATTTTACTGTCCCTTGTGAGTCTTATATCAGAACCTTGATTGAGCATTTTCCTGTCAAGTCTGGTTCTTCTCCTTATATGAATATTATTAACCAGTGATAGGCTGAGCCAAAAGAGATTAAAAACAGTGCTTAATTACAATGTACATGACAACTAAAAACAAATGAACAATTATGTTTAACAGGAGACGACTCCTAGCTCCCTTAGGATGAGGTTAAAAATGATCAAAGACAAATCACGGAAAATTTCAAAGCTTTGCATGATCTTAAACTTGCTATGTAGTTTTCTTCCCCATAACACTACATCAGGGCATGTCTACCCTCTATGATAAAGTCCTCTCTGGACTCTTATCCTTCCTGGCCTGGAGAGGCATATTTGCCATTCCAAACACTTACAATGTCACTGCATTTTATTCACCACTCCCTTCTAATGAAATACTCCCACATATACATGCAAGTCATTTCGCTCACAATGCACTGGTAATGGGATGCTTCTGAGCTTTCTCGGGGAAAAATGATTTATAGCCAGCAGGAGAATTAAGCTGAAATCAGGTGCACAAGTTTCTGAATGTCACATAATTTTACCAGGAGCTGTGTTTTTAAAATGCATTTGGCTTAAACTTTAGTTTGGGGTACAGTTATAGGAATTAATTCTGTAAAAAAAACACCTCTTTATTTAACAGTATCTATTACAAGAAGGAAATGCCTTATTCAGATGAATCATTTTAAGCATTTTTAAACTCCATATTTAGTTTTTCAATTGTGAAATTTATGAGAGGAAGAATGATTTAGAGAATGAGGAAGTGGCTTGGATGAGCTTTACAGTTCTTAACCTTCTTTTGCCTCTGATTATTTTAGTACAAAATATGACTACGTCATACTTTAACATTTTTGTACCTTAGGTACCTAAATTAACTGTCTAAATACTGATCTGAGAAAGAATTACTGAGGAAATAACCTAATGTAAAAAATGTAATAGCCTTAGAAAAGAAAAAGAATTTAAGTAATTTATTTTAGGTCTAGTCAGTTGATGGTTAAAGTCAGAAACAAACAAACAAACAAAAAACCAAACTCAATGCTGTCAAGTTGCTTCTGACTCATAGCAACCCCTCCTTGGGTCCTCAAGGCGGTATCTCTATGGAAGTAGATTGCCCAATCTTCCTTCTGAGGAGCAGCTGGTGAGTTTGAACTGCTAGCCTTCTGGTTAGCAGTCAAATCTCTTAGGTACTATGCCACCAGAGCTCCTATTAAAGTCAGAAAAGGAGCCCAAACCCTAGATTCCTAGAATAGTTTTTTTTTTTTTAAAACACAAGCTAGATGATTGCCCATTCTAGAATACCAAGAAAAGGGTAGAAAAGAACGATAGATTATAGTCTGGAGGGTCCATTACTCAATTATCTAAGAGCATGTGCCTTCTCCACTTTGCAAGATTCTTAAAAGTTAAACCTCTGCTGCTTCATCATTCTCTACACAGTGGCCAGAGTGTTCCAGTCTAACAATGCTAACTGCTCCCTCCCCAGTCCTACCAACCTTCCATGACCTCCCCTAACTTCTTAGAATAAGGCCCAAACTTCTTACAAAGCCTACTTAATCTGACTCCTGACAGAAGCAGGGGTTTATAACTCATAAAAATACTTGAGTATTTTAAAGTTATTTAAAAAAAAGGTTTATTCTTTCCAGTCATAGAGTCAGTACAGTCTCAAAATGGGCTGGATTGAACTTTCTAATAAACATCACCTTTGAAACTAACATGACAATTCTAACAATAACAACTTTCTTTCTGTGGTGATAAAACATACTTGCAGCAGACGTACTTGGATTTGTACACATAAGTAAATTGGATCTGATACACTAAAAAGCTCTTAGAAAATAATAATCACCAAGTACTGGAGATGCTAACATGGGCTCTAGGATTTTTTAGGAAGGATAGATATGGAAAAAAAAAAAAAAAAAGAGCCCCATCAGTCACATTACTACAGGGTGGCTCCAGTATGACAAGACATAGGTTTCCACTGGGTGTAGATATCATTACCTTGTCCAAGAAAGCATTTCCATCCTTTAGGGACCAGCCAGGAAGATTAGACAGCCTGGGACTGAAAAACAAAAGATTAAAGTATCCTAAATAAGTTATAATCCTCAGGTTTCATGATAACTGTATGGTCTCCATAAAGTTGAAAACAGTTTGAAATTACTCAGCAATACTCACGCAAAATACTGACCAAAAAGATAAAAAATTACCAGGTTATATCAGGTGTAAGAACTATGTGGCAATGGATTAAAAGGGCAAACAGTTTAGCACTATATTGGGGAAAAAAAAAACAAAAAACCCACAGAATGTTATGCAGAGTAATAAAGAAAAAAGAAAAATGAGATACTAGAGTATCTTATAGTTTTCCAGTCACTGCCTGTGACTTCACCTTATTTGTTTGAGAAGAACCCTGACAGGTGGGAAGAAGGGGTATCATCATATGGTACATGAAAAAACAGACGCTCAAAGGTTAGATGTTCTGACAAGAACACTGATTTAATAAAAGCCTCATTATCTACCAGTCAGAACTCACAGAGAGTAAAAATATTAGAATTCTAGTAAAATCATATTCTGGATTCACTCACTGCTTATAAGTGGATTAGTCACTTATCACTGCTAGTGTGAGCTTCCAATTCTGGAAGATGAAGCTAGTCTTCCCAAGTGTTACAAAACATCACCATAATATCTAATTGAATAAATTCTACAAGGTGAAGTTAACTTCATGTACACATTACATTTAAAAAGTCTGGACTCAGAAATTACACTTTTGGTAATCTCAGGAATTAGCTATGTACTGCTAGTTGACCAGAATAATTATAACAGAGGCAGAAAATGTATATAATTCAGTCAGTGGGGAAAAAAAATATGTTAATGAAAAAATTGTAATGACCAAGGACAGATGTGAAGAAAAAGTGTAAGTTGGATGGTAAAAGAATTTTAGAATTTCACAACAGAATTAAAGTCTGTGAAATAAAAGTTAAGGAAAAAAATAGAGTGTGTGACTAAAAGGCCTCTATAATCACAAACAAAATGTGTATTTCCTCATCCTCTTCCCAAAAAAATTTTATCAACTTCTGACTTTGTAATTACATGTGTGATAGTTGGAGCTGTGGGTCAATTTGGCTGGACCATAATTCTGTGTGGTTTGAGCTGTTGTGGTGTGGTTGTTCCCATGATGGGATCAGATGACTTTGAGTGGCCAATCTGTTGAAAGGGAGTTTCCCTAGGGATGTGGCCTGCTTCCAGTATCTGTGGACATCCTGGGAGAGGAGACATTCTTCTGTGGATTGGGATTCTGTTGTGCTGCCTACCACTGTGTGTGAGTGAACAATCCACCATTCGGCCTGGAGATCTTGGATTAGTAATTCGTTGGAGTCAACAGTCGGTGTACTGCCTGCCAGATCTGAGCTCCTCGGCCTCTGCGGCTGCAGAGTCGGGAAAAGCCTCCAGCTTGACGTGGAAAAGCCTCCAGCTTGACGTTCGATCCAGGAACTTTGGACTTGCCAGCTTCTGTAAGTGAGTGAGCCATTTTCCTAAGATAAATCTCTCTCTTTCTCTCTCTACAAGCTTTACTGGTTTTGTTTCTCTAGAGAACCCAGTCTAACACAACATGATAGGTATGAAAGTGAAATAGAAACATAAATATGTGAGTATCTGTCAATCTTCTAAGAAAAGTTAAAATATACTTCAGAATAAAAAGAGATGTTTTTATTTTGACATATTCCAACCTTGCAAAGAAGCTGCGAGAAGTCCATGAACTACCATATACCCTTTACTAGACTGACCAACTATTTACATTTTGCCTTTACTAATTGAAAAGTGAGAATTTTAAATTTCATTATCAAGAATGAAAATTAATAATGAGAGAATCAAATTTGGTTGGTTTAAATTACACCTAACCTAACCACTGTATTGAGTCAATTCCAACTCATAACAACCCCCATTCAGTCTTCAAGGATGTAAATCTTTACAGAAATAGATAGCCTCATTTTCCTTCAGCAATGCAGCTGGGTGGGTATGAACTGCTGACCTGGTTAGCAACCTTATGCCTTATCTACTGCACTACCAGAGCTCCTCAAATTATATCAAGCCAAATTCATTGCTGTTGAATCAATTTGATTCATAGTGACCCCTCCGTGAGTTTCTGAGGTGGTATCTCTATGGAAGTAGATTGCCCAATCTTCCTTCTGAGGAGTAGCTGGTGGGTTTGAACTGCCAGCCTTCTGGTTAGCAGTCAGATGCCTTAGGCACTATGCCACAAGAGCTCATATACATACATATCTACACACACATATTTTTAAAATTCAGGAGATTTTTCTGCTCTAACCTCTAGGGCAGAAAAAACTCCTATCACCACCAGCTATTTTAATTCCTATCCATCTTCACATACGTCTTTACTTTTACACTTCTTATTTCTTGATATTTACTATCAAATCAGATTAAAAAACCAAGCATTCAAATAAGAGTACAAGTCAATGTAGGTACTCTTCTCATTTCATGCATGTTAATTCTCCAAAACAAGGTTGTAAATATCCCCCTTTCCTTTACAAAGACAACTAGATCAAAGGACATGTATTCTGTCTGTTTCCCATTGTTGTTGTTATGTGCTGTACAGTCCGATCCGACTCATAGCGATTCCTCCTTGGGTTTCTGAGGTGGTATCACTACGGAAGTAGACTGCCCAACCTTCCTTTAGAGGAGAGGCTGGTTTCCCATTGTTGTTGTTGTTGTTATGTGCCCTTGAGTCGGACTGACTCATAGCGACCCCCTCATTGAGTTTCTGAGGCAGTATCACTAGGGAAGTAGATTGCCCAACCTTGCTTCCGAGGAGTGGCTGGTGGGTTTAAACTGCCAGCCTTCTGGTGAGCAGTCAAGTGGCTTTAGGCACTACGCTACCAGAGCTCTCCCAGTTTTAGACACACATAAATCAACCTTCAAAACACAGTTGACGGATTCATTTAGTTCTCTTCAACAAATGATTCAAAATGGCACATGGCTTATCAGAATTTTTTTTTAAAAAGCAAAAATTTCAATTATTGTGGTATGAATGAAACCGAGTGAAGTCAAAGTTCAGCCTGCATCCCTGGTTGAAGACAGATAAGTAAACATGATAACACAGTTCCTTAACAACTGAATAGGATGAAAGCTCAACTATCCGCGCCCCCCCCCCAGCCGTTAAGACAGATAGGACCTCTGATGGAGACAAATAAGTAAACATAATAACTCTGTTCCTTAAGAACTAAATGTAATGAAAGGTCAATTTATACATTCTTTCCATGCTATCCCCCTAGAAACAGGTGATAAGTATGTTAATGTGTCTAAGGAGACAATGTGAAAATTAACCTTGGCCTACGGACATGCGCTGTGAGACAAACAGGAAGAAAGTTGCTGGGAACTGACATTCTCCCCTCTGCCTAAGCCCGGGTCGGCTGATGACAGGAAGCCGGTATGACCAATCTGGTGCATAAGCACAATGCATTAAAAATTGAATGGCCCTTTAAACCAAGGCAAAGGAAACTTTAGCCAACCCTCAGTTAATTCATGCCCAAATTCCTTAAGTTTTATGAATATGTATAACCCCCCCTCTCCTGAAATTTACAAAAACTGTACCCCGACCACCATTCGGGGAGTCAGATTTGAGTACTGGCCCCTATCTCCTTGCATTGCTGTTTTGCAATAAATAATTTTCTCTCCTGTTAATCACTTGGTGTGCAAACTGCTTTGGCCTGACTGTGCACTGGGCAGGGACCCACAATTGGTCCTACTTCATGAACTCCTGACAAATACTTTATAACAACAGACCTTCCATTACACATTCGATGTTATTTTGGATTTGAGTCACTGCTTGTACATAGGACTGAATGAAAGCATGATCATATAACAATAATGGCAAAGATGAAGGGCCACAAAAACATCATCAAATTGGCAAAGGGAGGCTGATTATACAGATCAATACTGAGTTCTACTGAGTTAATGACTAAACCATAAAGAGTAAACTTGAAGCTACTACTACTCTGCTCTTACTGATTACAAAAGCTGACTCTGCAAACAAGGAAAGAGAAGATGCCTCTACAAAAATCTATTTTAAATAAAATATGGAAGATGAAGATATGAAGAAAATTATGATTTTAGACAAGCACATCTTTCAATTTACTATTTAACAATAATTTCTTAAAAAAAAATTAAAATGTCATTAAAAAATTTTGTGGCCAAGAGAGCACCCATATCAAACCTACCTATAATTATCCATCTTTTTTCTCTCCTCTCCCATTCCTAGTAACCAATAGAGAAAATTTTCTTCCCTTTGGTGGTGTAGTGCCTAAGACATTTGACTGTTAACCAGAAGGCTGGCAGTTCAAACCCACCAGCCACTCCTTGGAAGAAAGGTTGGGCAATCTACTTCCATAGTGATACTGCTTGGAAACCCAAGGAGGAGTTGCTATGAGTTGGATCTGACTCGATGGCAGGGAGTTTGGTTTTGGATGTAAACCTTTCCTTGACTTTCTTTTTTAAAGGAATTTTTAAATTTCATTTTTTATTTCTTCTATTACCCAGTCATTTTCAAGGAGGGTTCAGTTTCCATGTGTTTGCTCTTTTTCCACTGATCTTCCTATTGTTGATTTCTAATTTTATACCATTGTGATCTGAGAAGAAGATGCTATGCAGTATTTCATGTTTTTAAATTTATTAAGGCTTGCTTTGTGGCCTAACATATGGTCTATCCTGGAGAATGTGCTATGTGCACTGGAAAAGAATGTATATTATGCTGTTGTTGGGTGAAATGTTCTGTAGATGCCTATAAGGTCAAGCTGGTGGATTGTATTGTTTACTTCTTCTTTGTCTTTTCTGACTTTCTTTCTAGCTGTTCTATCTGTGATTGAAAGTGGTGTATTAAAGTCTTCTACTATGACTGTGGAGTCACCTATTTGTCTTTTCAGTTATGTTACAGTCTGGTTTATGTATTTTGGGGCTCCTTCATTGGGTGCATAGATATTTATTATTGTGATGTTCTCTTGTTCAATAGATCCTTTAATCATTAGGTAATGTTCTTCTTTGTCTCTTATA